GAGGGCACTGGGGACATCTCTGGCACATCAAGGAGGGCATTGGGGACATCTCTGGGGACATCATGGAGAACATTGGGGACATCCCAGGGACATCAAGGACAACATTGGGGACATCTCTGGAATACCAAGGAGGGCACTGGGGACATCTCTGGGGACATCATGGAGAACATTGGGGACATCCCAGGGACATCAAGGACAACATTGGGGACATCTCTGGAATACCAAGGAGGGCACTGGGGACATCTCTGGGGACATCATGGAGAACATTGGGGACATCCCAGGGACATCAAGGACAACATTGGGGACATCTCTGGAATACCAAGGAGGGCACTGGGGACATCTCTGGGGACATCAAGGAGGGCACTGGGGACATCAAACGGGACCAGTGACATCCCTGGGGACACCAGTAAGGAGCTGGGGACACCCTTGGGCTCTGGTGGCATCACCTGGAGCTCAAGATTCCCCAAACCCCTAATAAAAAGCCACTAAGAAGCAAAAAAAACAAAAAAAAAAATCACCATTTTGTCCCATTTTAATGGGGATTTTGGGGTGCCAGGAGGGTCTGGGGGGGCTAAGGAAGGTCAAGGGATCCCCTAAATCCTTGGGGTGCTCAAGATTTGCCCTGAAGCTCCTGTTGGAGCTTCCCCAGCACCTCCCGTTGCTGCTCCGAGCGTCTCTCCAGCTCCTGCATCTGCTGCTCGTAACGTTTCCTAGGGAGGCAATTTTGGGGTGAAAAACCTCTTTTTTTGGGGGGTTCAAACCCCTCTAAAACCCACTTACATTTCTCCAGAGATGTATTCCAAGCGTTTTCCCACGGTGGTTTTGGCTTCTTCCAAGTCTTGTTTGACTAGAACTGGGCCCAGGAGCTTGAAAATGGTGTTGGAGGAGTCCAAGAGGTTCAGCTCCTGGAATTTTGGGGGGGTCAGAGGGAATTCGGGGGGATTAAGGGGTCCCAGGGCTGCTTTTTGGGGCCCCAGGACTGATTTTGGAGGTTCTCACCTCCTGGACGATGTTGTTCTCTGTGAGTTGTGTCTCCAGTTTCTGCCTTGCAGCCACAGCTCTGCCCAGCTCTGGGAGGGACCCCAAAAATTG